TAAAAAGCATCTTCATCACAGAATTTTCTGTCTAAAAGTGGTCGAGATCAAACAAGCAGCGGTCCCTGATCTCAACTCCACTGGACATTTATGGGAGCACTTGAAGAGATTTGGACTAGTGTTGCTGCAATACGCCAGCATTGACAATAGCCATTATATTAAAAAAAAAAAAAAAATACTGTTATCATGTTAATAATATACATATGGTAATTATTCAGTGTCATTAATTGTCTGGTTGAGACTCCAACAAACAGTACAGTTATGGTTACAGGTTCTATCTTTGCCTTGCTAAGCTTTTTTTTTTTTTTTTTAAATTCTGAGTGTGATTTATTTTCTAGATAAGCAACAAAAGAAACATTAAATTATTAAAGTGGAATTATTAAAACATTAAATATGAATTTGTTTGATCGCACTATCACTACTTTTCTACTTTTTTAAAAATTGGCATCACAGTCATATAATGGAGGAGCATTATATGTACAAAATAGAGACTAAAGACTTCTCAGTCTCCCTTTTCTCTGTTTTAATGTTAAGGTGATAATAAATAAACCCAAGTTTAAAAAAAAAATCCTTAAATTCTGTAAATGCTGCTTCAGCTGGAGAAACACAACAAGTGATTCTAAGAGCGAATGTAAAGGACAGAATGAAACCAGGGACAACTTCTTCCTGTTTCTTACCTTTCTTTGAAACCGGTATCTCCAGTGATTTCCACTGTGAAATGAGCCTTAGCCCTGCTGAATGCAGCGTGGGTCAGGCAGCGAGACTGAACCCTGGGTGTCTGGTTAGTGTTAGAGTTAAACAGGAGATTTCAGATGTCTGATTTCAATCCACAGGCCAGCCGCTACTCATAATGCCTTGCAGATATGGCAGTGGGGGAACAGCGGGGGGACATAATTATATATTGCTGCAATCAAAATGATTCAAACCCCCTCACCTGCAAGTCATTCTAGTCGCGTGAATAAAATATAATTAAAACATACAGATGGGTGACAAATTAAAGCAAAAGCCAACATTAAGTGTTTTAAGTGTTTGGCCACTACACACAGCCTGAACTGCTTCAGTTGGCCTTGGCATTGATTTTACTAGTCTGTGGAACCCTACTGGAGTAACCGAAGCCCATTCTTCAAGAGATATTCCCGTCATGCAGTGTTTTGATGATGGTGGAGATGGAAAGTGCTACCTAACACAAACTCTGATGTGTTGGTGTTCGGTTAGGTTGAGATCTGGTGAAGGCCATAGCATGAGATTCATATCATGCCCTATGGATGGGGCATCCTGGAAGAGACCACTCCCATCAGACTAGAAATGTTAGATCACAGAATACAGATCATCTCTTTGAGCAACTTTGCTTTGATTTGCAGTGACCCCTCCCTCAAAGAGGCCAAGTGGACCCAAGCTATGCCAGCAATATACCACCTATAGCATAACAGAGCTGCTCCAATTCCTGGAGAGGTTCCTCCCTTAATGTGTCCCCCATCTGTACATAGCACATAAAACATGAAGCCTTGGTAAACCGTCAAAGTTTAATTTGATGGATTTTTGGATTTTTCAAGATTGCGTTTCCTAAAAGTACCAAAGACAGACACATTTGTCTCTCAAACAGCATTAGCAAAATTATTCAGTCCCAAAGTCAGCTGTTAATAATGGTATCCTTTCACCATTATGTCCCCATGAAATGTTTCTGAAAGCTTCTCAGACTTCTGACACCTCTCTTTGGGAGCCTGCTCATCATGTGCAAATGCTTCTAGCTCAATGACATTCTTCAGTTTCTGTGCTGCCACTTCTTTCTGAAAATTCTACCAAAGATTTCCAAATGTGTTTCAAATCCAGGGCCTGAAAAAGGCCACTCGAGAGCATTCCATGAACAATTTCCCAACCAAGGTTTGGCTGACTTGGACAAATACTTGGGTTTGTTGTCTGGTTGAGAAGACCAAATGATTATTAAGAATCAATTTACACATCGAGGGGATCACGTTCTACATCAAAATAGCCTGATATTTTGTAAAATAACAGCTATCAGGCACAAAGTCAAGTTTACCAGTTCTAGCAGCAAAACAGTACTCCTTAAACAGTTAATGCTCAACTGTTGTGATGCCGTTCTTGTCATAAAGGACTAGTCCTTCTCACATTGATGATCCACGTGCCCAGTAAGTTGCATTTTACACTCATGGCTCCATTCAGACTTTTAAAATTTTAAGTCTCATGGAAATCTTTGGAAATGTAAATGGTGAGCTTTTTTGTTTCTTTCAAATTATTACCATTTTGTAATGAAACAGTTCTTGTGTAGGTGGGATTGATCAAAGCTAAAGCACTTATATGTAAAAAAATAAAAATATCCCCCTCCCCTGCTTTGGATTTGCATTTCTGTTTTGCTGATGTAGTTGTTGTTACTGGTCTCATTTATTGTATCCAAATAAATATTACTAATATGTGTAAAAGCTTAGAAGCTCAACAAAAATCCTGAAATAATTGTATGTGTAGTTTAGACTTGAATCCACTTTATGATCATACTGAGGGCTGCAGTGTTTCTAATGTTCTGGCCACCAATGTACAGCATGAAGGCAGACAAATCTTCTAAACATATAACGAAATACAACTGACTATACTGCCAACTAGCAACAGCTTCCAAAATGATCATTAAATTAAATGAAAAAAGGTAATAAAGATGCAATTTATTGCAGGGCTGTTAATATATTTAACTGTACAAGTTTTAGTTAGGCGTACCAAATAACTGCCATGAAAGTGCTCATAAAGACATGTGCACAAAGAAAAGAAAGGAATTTGGGCAAGTGACTTGAACAAAAAATGTTTATGAACTATGAACACTAAAATATGACAAGAGGGTGTCATTGGAATTCCAGTGATCAAGAGGGCATCTTCAATCTCACACAGCAGACTTTTTGGATGAAACGGAGGCTGTCTGCCTCCTCTGCCACCCACCCGGACACACACGCCGCACTTGAGCTCTCAAGTGGGCCATGTAAAAAAAAAATTAGTGAAAAGGCTTAACTGCATTTGAGGTACTAAACAGTTCAGTGAAAATTAAAATCCTTCACAGGCAAACTTGGCCTGCTGCACTGAAATTTTCTAAGAGCAAGGCCACAGGTGCTGCCCTCTTCACAAGATAAGGTACTTTAAGAAAAAAAGGCACAAAACTGACAAAATATTCCACTTATTCCTATATATTCAAATTTAATCTTTCATTCAAATAGAAAAAGCATCACACAATAGGTGGCCTTCCTTGTTGTTCTGAAGTTATTGTGGATTGGTTGTGCTTTTTGAGAAGTAAGGTCAGCAGTCTTTAGTAATCATTTTATCAAGCAGTATTGTGACCCGCTATTATGTTTAATTCCAAAGACGGCTGTCGCTAATCCGTTGATCAATCCCTTTTTCTGTTGAATCAAATGAATCATTCTATTCTGCCACAACTATAATAGCCTAATATCTGAAAATACTGCAGATAAATACAAGCTTCCAAATTTTAGCTTCTCAATCATAGGTGAAGGGGAAAGCTAAAGGAAGCAGCACAATACATGGCAACCAATTCAGAATGTGTTGATCCACATATTGTGGTGAAACAGTGCTATGATTGCTAATTAAAGCTACCCAATAATTAGGCCTATAATTGGTATTTAGGTTTCCCTTAATTGATATTAAAAAAAAAAGCTAACATCACTGTCATCAGAAAAAAGGCTTATCTCTAATATTCAGTGGTGATGCAGGTAGCAAACAACATCATCCTTACGATGCATATGCTAATGTAAATTCTGTTCATTTTCATGCACTATGAGCTGAGAGAGTAAAACAAAAAAATACAAAACACTACTAAACATCCATCCATCCATTATCTATACACCTCCTAATCCTCACTAGAGTCGCGGGGGGCTGGAGTCTATCCCAGCTGACTTAGGGCAAAGGCAGGGAACACCCTGGACAGGTCGTCAGAAGCAGATTTAATTAAGTTATTATTAATGAAGCATTTGCACTTCTGGCTTTAATAGTTAAATAAGTTCTTTATGAGTATGTTGTAGTTGGCTTGATGGATGTTTTACATATGTATTTTTTTTACGCTTGAAAGTGAACAGCTCAGTCTTGTCTTATTAACAGCATGCAGTTTTTAAGTGCCTTAACTGTTACATTAAGAATTATGGCCAGTTACGGACTTACAATAAAACGAAAAAAAACCCAACAATTTTATTTTCTGTTTTTCTTTCTGTGCTGTACTCAAACCGTACCGAACAGAACAGTGACATCAAAACCAAGGTTCATACCAAACCATGAATTTTGTGATTTTGTGCACCATTCCACCCTGAGTACCTAGCCAGCCAACTTATTATTATCAATATGTTTTGATGCTCAACGTTCATTTGGGAAACAATCCTGCTCGTGGCGGAGCGCTAAATTCTAAATTTGTTGCAAAATACAGCTCGTTGTCTGTAATCTTTGCTTTAAAGGGCTCAATTCACTTCTTTGCTTCTTGGTTGTCTAGTTCAATTTCAATATTGATTTTATTCAACATTTTTGCATTTAGTAAGCACACACTTACCAAACTGATGAGATCTACAGGGGTAGGGGGAATTCAAAAGCCCACAGCATTGAGGGGCAGACAGTGTTTTAAAACGTGACAATGTACTCTCATCCTTGCCTGAATTTAGCCTTCCTATTCAAGCTGCCATTTGTTGCAGAGAACTTAAATCTGCTCTCAGCAAAAAGAAAAGACAAATCTCAAAAAGATTTCCCAGGATGACCGAAGGGTTTTAGGGCCATTGTTCTATTTCTGTCAATCTCCATGGGTTTCAAACTGGAAAACGAGCACAATATTTTACAGATTATCTTAAGTGTGAATGACTATAAAAGCAAAAATGATATTTTTAAGAACTGCGACCAAAACTCACAGTTGTCAGTGGCACTGAACCTGTGCACCAAAAAGACAATCTTGCTTCCGCTGAGTTAAAACACTAAGGCAAGAAGTCTGACTTGGTTGTATGGCAACAGCTTACCTCTGGTCCTCTCCTCCTCCACCTGCCCTGGTGTGTTGCTGCAGGTGTAGGCCGCCGCCTCCTCCTCCTCCTGGCTTGGGGTCGTTCCAAGTGGAAAACTGACAGGACGAGAGTTGGTGACTGAGCTGGATGGTCGAGAACTGGCACAATTCTAAAAGAAATGAGAAGGCAGTGTCGTTTGGTAATGTCAACTGGGTTCCCTGTTGATCATGAGTGATCCAACTAGTGGTATTATGAGGGTAATGAGTTTGTCTTCTATATCCACTTCAGTTTACACGGACAGGAAACATGTTTAAATTGGTATCAAACACAGTTCATTATATTTGTCCACGTGTAAACATCAAGGCTCATTGCTGGATTTTTACATTTTCACTTGCATTATTTAGATGACGTGTTTTCTCTGGTAACGAATGGTCACGATTAGTACTACTACATGGTCTTTCCCATATTTCAAGCGCCTAGTCTGAGCAGCTGATGTATGAGTTTACCTCAGAGAACTCCTTGTTTCACACAGGCGCAGGCATCTTCCAGCAAGACCAAAATAAACGGCAATCACACAAAACCCATTTGTTTGCACAGCTCTCAAACAGACTGGGAGGGCTTCAACAGGCTCCAGGGCCTCTTATATTTCATACTGTACTGCTATCAGGCAGGAATGCCTCATATGGCAAACACTCAGGCCCTGCTATTCTGGCTTTGTGTATTGTTGATGTCCAGCTTCAGTGCATATGACACACATTCATAAGTGGAAAAAAGACAAATACATGCACAGCTACATGTCACTGTAAATCACTCCTACCAGCACTCCCGGCAACAAAAATAAATGGGATTTTATGTCTTTTATCGAGCACGCCTAACAACGTACAGCTGCTCCAAAGCTATTTTTGTGGCACGAGACAAAGACAAAAAATAAACATCAACTCTGACTGTCCACCAGTGAAAATCAAATTCCAGTCCGATTAATGTTTTTTCTGGTAGACTGATTCCAACCTGCTCCGACATGTAGCTTCCTATATCTTGTCAAAACTTGAATTAAGATCAAAAAAACTAATCCGCTTCCAATTTATATCTATAATTCAGTGGTGTCAGGGGCATGGAGCACTGAGGAGGGGGTGGGGGGGGTGTTTTTTATTTGGGTCCTGCAACTGACAGCTTTATTTCACAAAGCAATCTGGCTGTGTGTGTACAAGAGGGAGGTCAGGGTGGGTCAAGAGGTACATGGTATCAAGCGGGCAGGCAACACTGCTCAAAGTGGCTGTGTGTGTGTGTGTGGCTGTGTGTGTGTATAAAAAACCATCCTCTGGTGTTAAAAAAAAAAAAAAAGCTGTGTGCGAGAGCCACGCCCATGTAGAGGGCCACAACACGGAAGAGGGCTAAAGAGGTCAACAGTAGTGTGGGATTAAAGAAGAGAGAGCATGTGATTAGGTTTGGTGGAATTTATATAAGAGGCTGTCAAGGTTACATGTGTCACTTCACTGTGCCACAGCGATAGTTAGTTAAAATGGTCACTAATTTAAATTAGAAGGAATATCAAATACATTTAAACTGTTAAGATAGAGTAAATGTTAGAATATTCAACAGGTTAACTGTAGGGTGGCTGTGACCTTAACATGGCTTAGTAGTGGCTATTTGTAATGTTAAAGGAATAAAGGGGACAATAAAAGTTTCAAACGGTCTTTTTCATTTAAATAACCACTTTCAGTCCTTAAATTGAAGTCGCAGTGGATTATCCCATTGGGCTGAATCTCCACTCGCAAAATAATACAACATATAAACCCCTCTATCTCCGACAAGTGCCATTCGTCTTCAAATGACCCCATATGCAGTAACACCGCCAAAGCCTCTTTATCCCTCACACGGCAAGGCACCGTACCCAATCCTATGTTTTACAACAAGGGGATATATAGGGGCATGTGCGGTCATCTAGAGCCAAATGTCTCCTATCTAACCAAAGAACAGGTAGATACAGTATTTCAAGCAGGATTTATGGCACAAAACAGCATTAGCTAAAAACCGTCAGGCGGCAGTGATGGCTAAAAAACGCATTCTGGTAGCGGAACCCGGCAAGATTGGAAAATTGCCACCACAAGAGGGGAGAGGAAGCAGTAAAAATGACAGTAGATGGGGGGGCCCTCACTGATAACGTGAGCAGACAATATATCAGATTGCACCTGGTGGCAAAGGGTCCCCCCCCTCAACTCCCCAACCCCAACACACACACACACACTACACACACACATACATTAATTTATCTGTTTATTTATTTTATTCCATCCCATCCTTACAGTGTCCGTCTCTGGGGTGGGTAGGTGGGAGGTCAAAAGCAAGTAGAGGCAGGCTGAAATTTTAAAAATCAATCTCCTGTTCAGAAATGGCTTCTCGGAGGTGGGGTATTGTAAAACATATGTGTGGGTCAGGGTGCAGAGGGAGGGGCAGGACAAAGTGTTGCCAGCCATAAAGCGTGACACAACCTGGGAAGAGGAGTGGAGTTAATGCGATCGCTCATAAGGGACGAGCTGCATTTTGTGCACGCGCACGTGACTGTGTGTGCACTTGGGAGATGGTCGGGGGGGGGAAAGAAAAAAAAAAGTGGGTGTTTGTCAAGGTGTTGAGGTTTATAATTGTATGTGTGTGTAATATGTGCCTGTTTGTGTGTGTGAGAGACTTCTAACTACTTTTAAAGTGCTTTGCGTCGGCTATAACCTTCTTAGACACACAATACGGAGTCATATTTGCACACACACACACGCGCAGCATCCTACAGTTTCAGCCAAACAGCAGCGTCCAACAAGGTATAAATACTGGCCTGACACTTTAATGTCAGGGGACGGCTTGTCCTGGATTAGAAACTTGTAACCCACCACGGAGCTTGACATTGCTGGGATGAAGGTGCTGCGATGGGGGGAGTGAGGGAAAGAGGGGGGCAGCTATTATGGAGGGTCTATATTTGATGTATAAGGGCATCTAACATGGACTGTCGACTAGTGAGAGGCTAGCAGATGTACAGTGTTGCTTTGTGGCCAGCTTTCATTGGCATTGCTGGAGTAGTAATTTTTTTTTTTCCTCCAGGAGAAGCAAAAGCTGTAAGGAAAATTGAGTCTGTCACATCAGTGTTTTTCAGACACACACACACACACAGAGGCATATGGACCCGCCGCATACACACTTGTTCACAGAAAAATGGAGGATTACGTACTGAAAAATTAAGCGCTTTTCTCCTCTCCTTGATCCTGTTGACCGTGCTCCGAACCTGAAAGAAAGAGAGAGAGAATGGAAGAGAAAGAGATAGGCATATCAGTTACAGCAGCCAGTGAAACAACTTAGAATGAATTAAAAGGAACTCTCTCTCACGGCAAACACCTGCAGGTATGCAAAGTGTAAAAATGGCAGAAAAGAGAATAAAACGTGAAAAGGGAAATAACATGTTTTTAGGGTTAGTTTGTGACAGGCAGTGGTTGAGACAGTGCATGTGTGTGAGAGGGTCTTCCAGTACGTCCCAGTGGCTAATGGGACTTGAAAGTGACACATAGAGCTGGCAAACTAAGGAGACGACTTCAAGCTATCATCTGTCAACATAGAGCGCCGGGACCAACAAATGGAGCTATTGGAGGAGAAGGGACCGCCCTAGCAGAACAGATTACATTTTTACACTCCAGATGAAACAGTGCACTGCACACCTTCATTTAACACACACAATACCAGACAAGAATTACATAGATGGTAGAGGTATACATAACACATATATAACATTTCATTATGCAGCTGTGATCTAACCTCAACTGAACTTGTAATTTACTTGCAAATTTATTTTTTAATAAATATGTTCTGTGTAATGCTTTAACAACTGAGTCACACTGCAATACTAAGGAATTTAATACCAATGCAAGAGCTGTGCTTATAGAAATGTGATAATTTGGACAATATTTACTTATATTTTACATGCATTCAATTTTTCTTTTAAATTAATAAAAGTGTATTTTGTAGTCCGGTCTATCAAAGTATTTGTGAGTAATATAAAGACAAATTTCATCCTTTGTTGTGCAAATATCACATTATACAAGACGATAATTCATGACAGTAGTTAGTTTATTTCATTCTCTGCATTAGCCTCTAAAAGACCAAAAATGCACAAAATAAAAAAAATAAATAAAAAACTTTACTTTTACCTATCATTTGATCTTAGATTAGTAAATGTAGTTTAGTACAGTGAAACATGACTTACTAGACAAAAAATAAGTATAATAAAAAATAATAAAATCTTAAGATTAATTTTAAAATACATACATATCGATCTATATATATATATTAGGTTGATATTGGACCAGCTTCATGCTATTTTTACTACGAGCCAGTTATTACTGAACAATAATAGGATACTTATCTGTTTAACAAACAAACAAACAAAAAAAAAAGGTAAAAACAAACATGCAAAACAGCGACTCAGGTTGTCAGTCGCGTAGCAATGTCGGGTGAAGTCTTGTATGAAAAGCCTCTGGCACTTACGAGGTCTTGTGTGTGTGCGTGCGTGTGTGTGTGTGTGCGTTAGTGCACATTGTCAGCAACAACTGTAAATTTGTATCAGCTGGGCACTCATCACTACAGCCCGTCCCAGCCCGGCCCACTACGTTAGTGAATATGCATTATGGCTTATGGCTTCATTAAGTCACGCCGTGTTATAAATTATGACACCACACTGAACACACACACACACACACACAGTCTCGGAGACAGCATGCGTATACAGAGGATGTTTTGCATACATACCACTGCTGAAGGGCTACATAATGAAGAGAGCCCGAGCCTTGTGACAGGGCAGAATCAACAGTGCCAGCATCATGTTTCTAAAACCCTTCTATTATTTCTGACAAGATCCTAAGAAGGCCTTCAACAAGTGCAGGCGTTGGAGAGACACCATCTTAACGTTATTTAATGGGGAAAATAAGACTTGGGGATTTCACTGATATCAAAAGCAGCCGGCGTGCTGAGGCAATTACATGACACAACTTAATTAATCATTTGACAATGAGGGGAAGGGCATTGTTTTAGATGATCGTTATGTGTTTAAGGGGTTTTGTGCACACTCAAGGTTTCAAAATGATGCAAAGCATGGTTCCCCATGTAAATGGGCGCTAAGCGATTACCATATGAAAGCAGCGCGCCCGACAACACCTGCCGACATCCTTGGCGCTGATGGAAATAAAAGGTCATCAAAGCGTGGGATTACAAGGTGACCACCAAGGAAAAGCTAATTGCAATGAATAATGGAAAGCTACTGTCAGGTAATTAGCAATTAAAACGCTGCATTTTGAGTGTAATAGCAGGAGACGCAGTCTCTCTTCCATACCATATTTGCAATTATTCAGCCTGGAAACCAGCCTCATGAATGGAGCATGTTCTGACTTTCAGGCACTAGTTAATTCACCACCTTACTTTAGCACATCAAAGTAAAAATTCTTGTTAAAGGTTCATTTGTTATACCAGGTTAACAACTAACAACTTTGCAAAGTTCTCACACGGAGCAGCCTTGTTCTGTTTTGCATAGCTGCCAAGTGCTACAGCAACCGTCAGCACACACACACACAGCTGGAACACAGCTTGAAAATGAAACTAAATGAAAACGCACTCTACATCCTGTCCATCTGAGCTTTTATGTTTCTATTGTTTCTCTGTGGTGAAGATGTCCATCAACCTTGGGCGCAATGGTTCATCCACACTGCTTTGTGAAGGAGGTGGGGGACTGAATGAAAACAAAGGGGAGGTTATAGTTGCTAGTTATTAAGACTGACTATGTTAAACAAATACAGACTGAACAGGAATCTCTCTGTCTCACCTTGGCCTCTTAATGCTACTCTGATTACAGGGAAGAAGCAGAAAAAACTTTTGATTACTTTCAATCAGCGTTTCTGTGATTTTTCTATTCTGCAGATATTTTCTTCTGGGTGACAGGGAGGGTAAAACCTGAAGCCAACAGTGTTCTGTCACAGTTTGGAGAGCAAGTTAAAGACACAACACAAAAAACAAGCAGAGTGACACAGAACAAAAGGAGCCCCGCTTACAGGTGATGAAGGTTAAGAAGAAGACAGAAATGTGTCGATGTGAATAACGGTAAGATTACGGATTTCTTTTTTTCAAAATCGTAACAGAGAAGTGTGATCCTTCTGAAAACAGGAACATGTACACAGGTTGCTCACAAACTATGAAGAGCTCATGGTCAAGGACAACTTCAGTGTAAGAAAATGAATTCCCAAGCACTAAAAAAGCCACTTAGGCAAGAATGCGGAGTTGATTTATTTTACAGTGTGAAGGGTCAGCCTTCTCTGGCTCTGCATTGTCGGTGCGTTGCCTGTGACTCAGGGACAGCGCTTCATGTTCAGGAGAAGACATGAATGAAGAAAGTAAAGAGAAAACTGAAAGTTAAAAAAAAATAAATAAATAAATGTAAATGTTCATGAGATATCCTCTTAGATGGTCAGAGGTGACGATGGAGGAAAGAGACTTGAAAACAGAAAAGTGAAGGAGGAGGGACTAATGTAACACTGACCATTAAGAAGGGATGAGTAGTTATAATTTACCCCAGCTCTACTCAGAAAGGCTGCTCGCGACAATGACCTTGGACATTCAGTCAAAGCAACTCAGGGCAAATGAAAAGATGTGGTATGTTTGTATTCATCAAAACTGAGGACGAGTCAACCACAGTTTATTCCAGCTACAGAGGAAATGGCTTGTTAGTTTTGTCTTGTTATACTGTATTTACATTTATTTTATTTCATTTCATTTATTTATTGCATGTGATACTAAGAGTCATTGTTTTTTTGTTGTACTGTTTGCCATGACAAAAAAACCCAAACATATATTTAGCGTTATACTTTTGCAATAATGTTACATTTCTTGTCAAACACTTTTTTTTTAATTCAATCAGATATTAAATTCTTAATGGTGCTCCCTTTCGAATTTTAACTTTTTCCTCTCAAAGTTTGGACTGGAACATGTCTAAAAATGAGAAATAGACCACAAGTTCAGAAAACGTGCTGCATTTTAAGAAGGCACTCAAATGCAATATCACCTATGCACATCTAAAGTTAACCTCATTTACACAGAACAGCCACATTTGACCAAGAGTGATTTTCATGACTTGAGTCTCATCCATTAAATCGTACCTCTCTGTCTCGACACTTACCCGCTCTCCACCCCCCACGCGGCTATGCTGTATCTAAATGGTAATAATGCAGCATCTCAATATGATATTTCCTCACTCCTTCATTGCATATTGTTGGTTGCATATTGTTTTTCTTTTTTTTTTTTTGTCCTACTGTGGTTACTGCTTAGGGCCCTGCAAAGCCCTGGCCAGCTGCTTTGTCAGGATGCTAAATGGAGGGCCGTGAGTTTAAAAACTTAAAGAGGCAGTGAAATATTAGCCAATGTGGGTGAGGAATGAGTGGCTGAGAACCGCAGCGTGTCAGTGTTAAATGGTCGGACTCGGATGCATATAAGTTAGTCCAAGCATGAAGGGCAGTGGGACGCTCGCGTGGAAACGATGTCCCCTCCCCTCCTTCCCATCCCTCACCTCCTCCACAGACACACATTCGCACACACATACACACTCGTACTGTCACACCCCACCCACACAGCTTTTAAGCAAGGAGCCCATCAGAAACTTGTCATTTCTCTCATTCACTCCGACAGCCTTGAGACACAATGCAGACTTACCTCTGTGTTGTACACCCCATATATCAGAAAGATGAACAGGCCCTGCAAACACAGACAAAGAAAGAAAGCGAGAGAGAGAGAGAGAGAGAGAGACAGAGAGAAAGGAAGAGGAAGAAGAGGAGGACAAAGTTGTTATTGTTGTTTTCTCTCTTATCTTAAAAAAAAAAAAAAAAACAAAGATCAAAAGTAATGAGTGGAGCGACACATATGGGTTGATTTGTACTCTATCCCAGCTACACAAAGCCGAAGTAGAGACTGTAGTGAAAAGTACTGAAAGAAGTAGGACAACTTCTCCAAACTGGGCCACCTCTGTAAGGCTCAGTTTGCATTTGTTTCGCCTACAATAGTTCTGCTCCTCATTCTAGGCTGCACTAAGCCATCAAAGGCTCAAGCCCAAGGTTCCACACAGCTGTATTGAAATAGAAAATCTCAAGTGCCTGTGTACAGTCTGCATTCTTAGACACAGAAACACAATACATAAATTTGATTTAGTACCTACAAACATAGGGAGCGCACAAAATATATACAGAAACACAAAGTTTGTGCACATATGCAACGGACAGAAAGACCAATGAAAGAGGAAACAAAGCCGTTATTAGCACAAACATATTAAAAGACACAGACACACACACGCACACACACACACACACATAGACACACACACACACTCGTACATAAAGAGAGCAACCCAGGCCAGACGAGACTATCAAGGAAAACCATTGGAGGAAAGCGGAAAGAGAGACAGAGGGAGCATAATGAAAAAAATGACACATAAAAGAAGATATTTCATGTTCACAAAACTGCACGGCTAGTACCCAGAGCCCAAGAATGCCATGCCCTTGGATGCATAAAGGCTGCACTTTTGGTCACAGAAAAAGAGCTATTTTTCATTCCAATCCATTGTGGCATCCACTGAATGTGCAAGCTGTCCATTCGCCTTCGGGCCATAATGTAATCCTGTTGCCTCAATGGAAACAGTGAGAACAACATTCTCAGAGCTCCCGATTGAACTGTTTCACAAAAGATGTACCGAGAAAAATGAAAAGGCAGGTAAAATCCTATAAATTTCAAGGCTGATAGATGCAGTAGATTCTTTGATAAGAAAACCGCACGTCGATGTGGATCTGGCTATCACAAAAAAACCTTTTAAAAGTACATCCCTACCCTTTTACAACTGAGAGTGTGTTTGTGTTCCTTCATCTTTAAACGAGGGTAAGGACACATCCTGATGACAGGCAGGCACAACCTGGTCAATGCATCAATCAAGTTGAGTTTGGAGCATCCAATTTTTGCCAGAGGGAGATCTCGATGCATCACCATTGACAACATGATTTGGGGGCCCATTCAGAGTGACAGGGCGACGATGGCTGACGATGACGACCTCTAGCCCGAGCTACTGCCCATTCACCTCCTACTGGCCGCTCTTGTCCTCCAGGGACTGAATTGCCCTGTCTGTCGCGCTGTCAAGTGACACCTTAGGACATCCATCCTCTTAAAACTGACAATTTCACTGGTCTCTGACATGCTAAAGACAACAGGCATAACAAGGGATCTCATGCTGAGATCGCCACACTTCTTACTTTAAATTGCAGGTAACATTTGCCACAATGTAATGTAGAACAGAATGTAATAAAAGAAAAAAAAACATGGGCCATGTGACCATGAGTTGAGGTTGTTTACCAATACTGGTGATTGAACAAATACCTCTAGAGATGAGGCTGCTGGCTTCTGAAACTCATTTTTGAGATAATCGCCCAAATTCCACTTGACAAGTCACATGGCCAGGACAGCTCCACATGTTCGGTGATTAAAGTGTGTGGCCAAGGTGACATATAATTTATATGTTATCATATCATCTCTGCTCCAATTTTCAACTGTTATTTTACAGCTAAAATTCAATTGCTGGGTCCAGTTAAAGGCCACTGTAGCTGAGAGACTGCGGGCTGCAAAGGCGGAAAAGCTGCCTTGGATGCCTTTATGTCATAGAGAGGTTTCACGTTTTTCAACTATTTGTTCTGATTATCAATTCAAACCTACGGACACCATGTATATTAAGCTTCAGTGAAAGCTCAAAAAAGCTGGGTTCTTTGTTGTTTGTGTACGTGACATATGCTGACTATAATAATGAAAAAATTGCCAACTTCAAAATTGAACTTTAAAGTTACAGAAAACAACTTAAAGTGCACATTGCTAACGATGTGCAACAAACGCATCCTGATCAATTCAGTGCTGCTGCTAATGGAGTAACATTATTACCTCTGCAAATAAGCAGGCTATGTTGTTTTTTACACTTTTTGCTTGTGTGTTATCAAGCTTCACAAACACTGTCAAGACAATTTTTTCGGAAAACAATGAAACCACTAAATTTCAGTTTCTAAGCCTTGAGCATTATCACACCAGCCATTAGTCGAAGCTGATGGTGTGTTTATGCCATGTGCTCAATTTCCACAAAAGTACTGCTGGATTCCTTTGATCCGCTTCTTTGCACGTTATGACATCGATTTTTTTGCTATATTTATGGAAAAACTTTTAAAATGTTTCACTGGTCACAAATGGGTTTTTTTCAATCTTGACCAAAACTGAAGATTTGAAGACAATGGCTAACTAAAGTTATCGTGTGAATTTTTGCTCTCGGAAAGTATTCGTCTCTCACAATTTCCTGCTACGCTTCAAAACAGAAGGTGAGATGATATCTAAGCGATGGTTTGATCAATCAAAACTGAACTTGGTAGATGAACTTGTGACCCCGTTTTGAGGAAGCACAGACAATCTGACCACTAGGAGGGGCTGCAGTAAGCGAAGAGTTTGCAAACTTGCACATAATAGAAGAAAACTATCACCTTGGCAGAGGTCTGAGGCATAGAATGGTTTTTGGTTGATAAATACGGATAAACAGAAGTAAGGTAAAACACAACTTTTACTTTAAATTAATTCGAATCGCAAGCAATCATGTCCATTGACAATTATTCAAAAGCGCAAGCAAAGTGTTTATATCATTTACACAAACACACTCTTATCACATAGTCTTTTCACACGCAGAAATACACGAGGATGTACACCAGCATTCGCTTACAATAATAGACAGTGGGTGGTTAATTTGCAGCACATACTCTATTGTATTGCATTAGAATTGCAACTCGCAACTTATTGTTGCAATTTGATTATCATGTTTTTGATCATTCCTCTTATTTGTAATTAATCTTTTGTTGTGTAGGGAACAAAGTGGGGAGAACATACTGTGCACATTAGGAAAAATGATCTATTAAAATCTAATTGAGTTAAAAATAAGTTGCATCACAACAATAATGATGGATTGTTTAAAATGTTAATTCATTAATATTACCACTAAAAAACAAACAGACAGGAAAAATGGGGCGCATTATTTAAATGCAAGTGTGCTTTTCTAAACTCAGTCCTGTTTCTTTTGAACTCAGCAGAAAATGCTACAAATTTATGCAAAGAAAGAACGCAGTTGCTTTCAAAGTATTGCTATACTGTACATCAAAAAGGGGAGCATAAATTAATTAGCATCTCGCTAATTAGGGAACAATTGTATGTTTAAAAAGTTAAAGCCAACAAACACCGTGTTTGACCAAAAACATCATCACCCCAGAGAGATATGCTATGCCGCAATGCAAGACGGAAAATAGCATTTGTTTAAATGAGCAAGCGCGATCCTTCTGATCAGATGCCGAGAGCTTTGTCTGAGAAAGCAGAGAGAACAAATCAAAGTCAGAGATTGATTTACGTTTAAGAACTCTAAGTCAAGTCAATTAAAGCAGGGGATGCTGTGGCTCTAACCCTGATACTGTTTACTACTGGCTGTTTGCGATGTTGACAACGTCCTTTTGGAAATTTACCTCTGCTGTCCTTGCAACTCACTCTTCGTAAAAGCATCAACTGAGTGCATTAAATGTTTAAGGTGATCCATTAAGCGCTGGTTACACTTAGCTTACGCTTTATTCCAGTGTTTAAGTGTTTGCTTTGTGAGTGGAAATGCTAAATAAAGCTTATCTTCCTCAGAAGTCAAAAGCTAATGATCTTTGGCACATAAAGATGTTTTTGCAGCCTGTCTACATGAATTTAGATTGGCAACTCTTGTGAGTGCAATTTGAGTTCTCAGTTAACTAAATCAGGTAGCAGAGAGCAGATCTGATTGGAGGCCTTTCAGGTATTTTTGTCAATTAATTTTATCATCAGGAGACAAAATGAATGAGCAGGTACAAGTTCAGTGTTTAGCTGAAGGCTAGTTTGCACAGAATACAAGGCTGCTGATGGATGTACGTGTAGCTGCCAGGATCACAACTGCAGCCTTTCAGTTACAATTATCAGGCTGTCAGCAGCAGGTAACACACAGCGTATAACGGGCAGCAAATGATAGATTACTTTCATTATATCATTATTTTAAAGGCACAGTCACGTACCACAAAACGCAACATGCTTTCCATAAAACCGACAAAACACAATGTGGAAATTTAATCTCGATAAAATAATGAACATGAATGATTTAAGCCATACTCGCACAGTGACTAACCACTAAGGGGCACACAACTTCTACTGTTTCATTTACTACAAACATGATATCAATAGAGGCTGCAAGGTGGAGCACTGTTGCCTCACAGCAAGAAGTACGCCGGTTCGCGGCATGGTGGAGGCACCGGGATATTTCTGCCGGGAGTTTGCATGTTCTCCCCATTCTCTGCGGGTTCTCCGGCTTCTTCCCACAAGGTCTAAAAACATGCTGAGGTTAGTTGGTGATTCTAAATTGTCCGTAGGTGTGAATGTGAGTGTGCTTGGTTGTCTGTCTCTAAGTGTAGCCCTGTGATAGACTGGTGACCTGTCCAGGGTGTCCCCTGCCTTCACCCTGAGTCAGCTGGGATAGACTCCAGCCCCCCATGACCCTAGTGAGGATTAAGTGGTGTATAAGTGTATAGATCAGGGGTCTCCAATCCTGGTCCTCGAGAGCCACAGTCCTGCATGTTTTAGATGTTTCCTTCTTCCAACACACCTGATACAAATGATCAGCTCATCATCAGGCTCTG